AGCTCCTCGGGAATGGGACATAAATATACACACATACATATCTCTATAAAATGTTAACTCTTATATGTCGTCGTATAGTCGCCTATATTTTATTATTACACGTATACTTACATTGGTAGATACACGTATAATATAATAACGTTCTAGGAACTCTTGTTATCTTAATTGGTTAAGCTTCTCCAAATATAAATACGAATGACCTCGCCTTCGTGCGAAAACCGTTGGCCCGTGTTGTTCCCTCGACCAACCTTCTATCTCGAAGTTGTTACGGAAAAATCGATACTGGAATTCTACGATAACAATATTTTTATGGTGTCTCGAGCATGATAAATCGTTATTCCGTTTTTTTTTTTTTCTTCCGTTCGAACAGAGAGAATCCATCAATCTTCCGATGAATCTAAATGAAAAATCGCGATTCGCTGTCCTTGTTTCACGATCCATTGGCCGTTCCAATATCACTGGATGGATAAGTTAAGGCATCTTTATTAATAACTCTTAGAAGCAGCCTCATTTTCTTTTTTTTTGAAATGATTAAAAAATCTCGAATAAAAGTTACTTATTAAAATGCTCGAATATTGTAATAGCTATTATAATCGATCCATTTCTTGTATCTTCTCGTTTTGTTACAATTATTTCCAATTATTATTATTTAGAACGATAAATTATCGAATTATAACTTTATGAAAGTAACTTCGACCATTAAATTTTTTCCTTGTTTTCCACGAAACAGCCAAGACGAACTCTGAAACGAAGCTTCACGACAATTTTTAAAAAAGGAAAAGAAAGAAAAGGAAAAACGTGATGCACCGGCACACGAGGCTTGCACACGATCGAGGAACAGAGGAATTTGCATCGAATGCAATAACTTATCAAACGGCTGAGAAACGCGTGCAACGCGTTCGATGTATCTTGATTAATAACGCAGGAAGCTACCGCACAACTCTAAGAATACCCCTGTTCCCATGCCGGAGGGTTACGCGATAAATTATGGTTTACCATGCGGAACGGGTACGGTTCCAGGTTGGAAAGAATCCTTTTCGACAGCCGACCGATTCCGATCATTCGGGATGGCCGAGTTACGGCCGGGATACGAAACGTCGATTGTTATCGGCCTTCTCTCCTGCATCGAGGATATATTCCGCGCGCGAAGAGAAGAAAAGAGAGAAGGAAAAAGTATCGAGAAATGGTAAGTAACGATCGAGCCGATAACATTAACCAGAGCGAAGTAACATTAACCAAGTCTCGAACGGTTGACAATTCCATTTCGAAAAATCGTGCACGAACGGGTCCTCCGCCGTTATTTCATTTCTTTCGGTTGACTTTCGATAAATGCTCGATATTACGCAATAGGCGTGGAAAGAATCCCCGGATCGCGGTCCAATTTCGCCTCTGCTTCTTAAACAGGCCTTCCAAGAAGCCCTCGAGAAGAGATAGGGGGATCGATGATTCTTCCGCGTTCGTTTGATTTATCGAGGGGATCATTAGCGATGAGAGGAGGTTAGGTTATGGCACGTGCTGTGTGTGTATGTGTGTGTATATATATATATATATATATGTTCGAAGGGAAGCCACTTATCGTTTGTCCCTTTTTTTTGTTCCTCTGCCAACATTTAATAAACTTGCGATTAATGGTGGGCCGTTTAATAACGGTGATATAAAGCATCAGGGCGCGTTATCCCGTGAAAAATTCGACGGTCGCAACGATTGACCGCGTGGGCAGATCAGCGAAGCGAAAAATGCATTGATAATTAAAAGAAACATCAAGAAAAAAATTAGTTAAAAATTTTTCTTAAGAATTTTTCTTCGATTTCTTGAGCAACTTCTTTTCGAAGTTTCTTCTTTCTCGATATTTTTCCTTCCAATTTTTAATTCGAGGGACACGTCTTTTTAAAGCCAGTAAAGATGCTATCGGTTAAAAGTTTCTGGCATCGAGAACAGCGCGAAAATTCGAAATTTCGTTTTAAGACTAGGGAATTTCTTCGAATATTCGTGCACGGTTTATTCGAAACAGTTCGATCCTATTCCCCTAGCCGACGTCACGATCCATAAACCTTGGCGAAACGTTCGCGCGTTACCCGCGCGATACAACCGATCTCCCCCTCTCCTCTTCAGCCACTTCTCTGGAACAACATCGACGTAGAGAATCCTCGGCAACGACGACACGGAATAAATATAGAGAATGGCATAACAATTTCACGATCACGAGAAAAACGAGAGAGGTAACGAGAGGGTGTTTCCTCTCGATCGAATTTCTTTCGCTTTATTAACCAATTTCGATATTTCGATCGGTATCAGTGGAGTTTATCCAATTTTTGTTCTTTTTTTCACCTCGTGAAATCATCGTGATCGCGAATGAATGCGTAGCTAGATGACGTATGAAACGTATCGCCGACTGTTTTGCACTATTTGTACGTGGGCGTCGCCGATGCATGTTCCTCTTAAGAGAACGATCCGTATTCCGCGTGGCAACGGTCGTATTTGCCACGTATCGTCAAGTCGAAAGAAGTTTTCTTCGAATAATTTTTCCTTTCAAGGAGAAGAAAGATTCTTAGGAATGCTTCTTGGATCGTTCTAAAATTTTCAATGACGCAACAGTGAGTAACTCGCAAGTAAGTCGAGAAACAAAATCGCTATCCTACGATTCGCTAATTAAGGATGAGTTTTTTCGGAGGAGTGGCTTACGATTCTCGCTGGTCAAATTCATTTATAAATTACCATCCATTGCGCTCTCCATCGTTATTTTTCTTCTTTTTTCTCCTCGAGGCTGGAACATTCGCGCGTTTCACAATGGACGACACGCGAATACGGAAGGAAAAAACTTCGTTCTAACCTCGTTCCTCCGCCGGTAATCCTAGCGATGAATAGGGTAGCCATGTTCGAGCACGTTGCCGCGTTTCCGTGTGTGCGACCGTAGGCGGAAAGAGGATTCGCCTTACGTGGGCGTTGTTGAATATCGGTTCAGAGATCGTTCCATTCCAACATTGACAGATTATTTTATGGGAGGAGGAATAGGGTAATCGTATCGATAAATATTCCGGGAGAATGTATATACACCGGTTGTATATAAATTGTGTTTTCTTTAGTTTTCGAGATGCGGCGGTTTCGATTCACTTGTGCCCCATGTAATTATTCTTCTCTCGGTGTCTGTCCGTCTGTCGATAAGCTCGTCGTCGTAACTTTTCTCGTAAATCGTACATCGTCGATGATAATTGATCGATCTTTCCCCGATCGGAGGAAAATACGATCGTCACGCGTGCAGAGTTTACTTGTCGCCTATTCTCGGAGAACAATCGAGAATCGAACCACGCGTCGAATCGATTCCACATGTTTGTCGTATCGAGGCGGTGATATATATCTTTCGTAGGTAAAGTAGATTTAATTGAGACACGTATTTGTACGGATGTCAAAGTTATTATTCCGATATAATTTATTTTCAAGTACAAGCGTTCACTGCTGGAAAGAAGTGGAAGAAAACGCTTATTTTCACACGCTTATTTTGTTTTTAGCCTGATATTTGTCACGTGTACTAATCCTAATGACAGAGAGATGCATTAAAACGACGATTTATAACCTAATATAAATCTCGATGCAGAGTGTTCTAACCCTTAAATATTTCAGATTATTTTAAAAATATTTGTTTTTGTGTGAAATTATATTATTTATTTTTAGTTAATTAAGTATAATGTAATAAATTTATCAATAAATTATATCTCAATTAATTCAATAAAATTTAATTATTAAGAGTATTATTTAAAAGAATTTCTAAATGTATCGATGTAATATTAAATATTCACAAATTAAAATAATTTAATTACAATTTTGAATATTTGAATTACAGCTCTTGCATCCATTGTGATGTCAAGATCGAACAGAGTGTCTAAAGTGGAGATGCACTTAAATTAATAAAGAACAGTAACGTTATCGTTCGGAAGAATTTCCGTTTCCCAAGTTTTATTAATTACCCAACACTGAAGAATCTGCTAAAACTTTATCCTAGAGAAGAGAGAATTTTCACCAAAGAAAATGGACGAAGATTAATCCATTCAATCCCCTCCTAAAAAAAATTCCAAAAAAACAGGAATGAAAAATATGAAGAAAAAGATTCAATAACCCGATTCCATATAGATCGAAGCGTGAAGAAATAGTCTGGCAAATCCCCGATTCCAAATCCCTTATTTCTCGAGAGAGAATAAACTTGACTTCGATTAATTTTTTTTCACACTCGTGATTATCGGCTGTTACTTTCGCACACAAAATTTACATCATCTCCCATCGATCAAAATCCCTTCGTCCCTTTCCAATCGTAATCGTGCATTTCTTCCAACAATTTGTTCGATTCGAGACGGAGATTCTGGCGGTTAGTTAGCAATCGCTACCGCGGTCACGACTTCCGCGTTTTCACCAACCAGATTCGTGTTCGCCGATCGAGCTCGTTTCGCGATTCGTTCAAGTCTCGGCCGACATCGATCTTCCTTGTAACCGTGGACAAACGGGTGTATAACAGTGTTCGTGGTGGCATCATAGAAACGACACCGTAGTGGAAGGAGCACGCTGGAAATCGGTGGGCCAATAAAACTGCTACACTCTCTGTCTCTTTCTCTCTCTCTCTGCGATTAGACGATCGTATTTATGGTTCTCGCCAATCGTAGTATCTTTCCGTTAGAGATGTATTTGTTAGGTTGGCACGCCTGATAACGTCGCAACAGTGTTGCGCGGGACACACGTTGCGGGATACGTAGCTTGTCATCGTAGTCGTAAATTCGTTAGAGATGTTTAAAGTTCGCTGAAATTACACACAATTTTATTTGTAGTTTTATTATTTAATGTTAATTATCTAGCGGCTAACTAACTATTACACACTTACGTTTTATTAAACACATTCGGCCAAATCATTGCGTTTTATCTATTGTTTCCATTGCAACGGTCAAAACAAAAATTCGATTCGTGAGGAAATGCACGGATCGATCGAGAGGAATGAATATTCGACTGGGAAAAGAAGAAAGAAACTTTGATGCGAAGGTAACAGTTAATAATAATCACGAATAAATAAGTAATCGTCGTCGTCGTGATGAGAATACGGATTAATGAAGTTAAGTTTATTTATTTATTTTCTCGAGAGGAAAAATACGATTGTATTTGCGAACGGTAATTATTGTTTCATCGATGAAAAGGATTTTTTTTCTTTCTTCGACAACCGTTTTTGCCGAACCATTTCGTTCGCTTCGAAGCGTCTTTTGTAAAGAGTTTAAGAAAAATTGAATGCAATTAAAAAAAACCTTAACTGTAACGAAACGTTTCATTGAAAGGCTAACAACGAAGAGTTAAAGGAAGAAATTAAATTAAAAAAAAAAATAAGCCGAGATACAAATTAATTCGTCTCGTTAAAAAGAAAAATATCTTACAAAGGCATCTTTCTAACTATATAAAACGAGAAGACGGAAAAGTTAATATTCCAAGTTAATATCCTTCCTCGAGCAAGAGTATCTTCCTTCTCAACATTTTGATGGCGTTCGATATCGATCGAGTTTTAGTTAGCTATTTACCAGGCATGCGATATGAAAGATATTTTATGGAAATATGCGCAAATATATATATATTCGAAAGGGAACACGGGCGATCTGGAAAATAAAAAAAAAAAGTCTGAGACATGTTATTCCACCTTGGACAGTTTCGTTGATGAGAAAATATTTCGGATTCGTATTTATATTTCCAAAGAAACGAATACGAGTCGATCGTATTCACCATCTTTAGTTATTCTTTGATACAGGAAAATACTTAGTTACTTAGTTGTCGACCATGTTCCAATCTCCTCTTTGAAAATTAAGTTGCAAAATTTCAATTTTTTTTTTATCATCGTTGTCGTTGTGACAACCGTGACGATCGTTCGAAATAAAAGTCCCCTGACGTACCTAAATACATGTACACAACAACTCGTTGATAGGTACTATCGATTCAAACCGCGTAGCTTATGTTATGAAAACCGGATTCGAACGATCCACGACCACGGGTCCGCTAATGAGAAGTAGCCTTTGCATCGTTGCCTTTCTGCCTTCCATCTCTCTAGGGTATATACATCCGAGAGAGATAACAAAAAAAAAAGAAAAAGGAATATATTCGTTCGGAATAACCAGTACTACAAACATTTCAAAGTAAAAAGAAACATCTTTGACGAAAGAGAAGATACACAAGTTATTACACGAAATAAACAGATTTATAAATCTAAATTTCTTCTCTTTTTTCTTTTTTATCTTGAATTGATTTGACTTTAAATTTATACAAATTTTCATTTTTCAAACAATGTATTAATGTGTATTAAAGGTAGCTTCCAGAAATTTCCAAAAAAATGTCGAGATTCGATAAATCTGCTCGTGCCACCTGAAGTAGTCCAAGTGGCCACTGCGAAACGATCAAGAAGAACGTTTCAATCGGCGTAAAATGAACCGTCGGTCAATCGTCGTCGTGTAATTGGAATCGAGCCGGTGCCAAACCAGCGACAGCGGACCGATTAATTACGAACCATCTTTTCCATTCTCGAGAGCCAAAGAGGCCCGCAAAAAAAATTATTCTCGACATATTTGACACGTCGATGAAAATAACTGTCGCGAACCAGTTACGAAACTGCTATTACTCGTTTATCTTCTTATTCTTACGTAGTAAGAAAGAAAGAGAGAATACGAGTTAGTCTACTGTAGAAAGACGAAAAGAAAAAGCACACGCGTGCAACCGAGCCACGACACGCGGCAAGAAGGGAATAGAGGATCTTCCTCTCCTCGCCACGACCCACCTTTCCATTTTCTTTAAAGACACCGTTGCGCGCTCTCCTCTCTTCGTACGGCGAGCAAACCAGTTCTAAGCGTATGCACGCGATACCCGTCTACCGACGCGAGCCACTCGAGTGCCATCTTACTGCGCGGCCACAACCGAACCGAGGTCCCCCTCCTCCCCCTTTTCTCCTCTTGCCCGAGAAACGTTAAGCCGCCGTATTTTTGCGCTTCCAATACTACGAACCGCGAATCCCTACGACCGGTTATATACCGTGTTATATACAGGGTGAGGCGCTTCGAATCTTCCAGAATTGCCCGTTTCGGTTAACGTTTCCAACAATGTTGCTCCTCTAACTTTTATTGAAAATGCTCGAACAACCGTTTGTACCGTTGTATGCGATCTCTTCTGCGTTCGATGCCTCGGACGATATTAAATTATCGAAGTAACTTGAGCTCCGGAAGAGATTGAATTTTTTTCGCTTGTTTTTCACACGAATGAATGACACGAAAATTTTATAACGAAAGTTTTTTTGCGTGGAGCTTTCGAGCGATATTAGATAGTTTTCTTCAAAGCAATTGTTGTTGGTAATTTATTTTGTTTAATGGATGTTTCATGTTTCGTTTATTAAAATGAAATTTAGTTTATTTTATGATTTTTAGTAATCGTCATATATTAATGAAGATTTGAAGTATTTTCCTTGTTTTTCATTGCGATATGAAACAAAGTGAAAAAGTGGTGAAAAATTTATCCAAATTTATATCATTATAACTTTATCGATTCCGTTTTTATTTAGAAAAATCAAAAGTTCTGGTGTCTGGTAAAAATTGTTCATTTGACTTTTTCCTATCGCCTATTCTTGCAACCAAAAATAATATGTGGCCACCCCACATGTTTGCACTCTACGCAGGACAATATTGGATCGTACGTAGATCAACAATTTTTTTTTTCGTCGTGAAAATTCCATCCTGGGGGAATGAAGTTTTTATCCGATATCCTCAGTTTTTTTTTCGATATAACTTTATAAATTATTTTTTTTTTTTTTATTACAGCGGATTAAAGCTCGTTGATTAAGTTCACAGAGTGGATAGAGGATTGTTGCGTGCATCTCGCGGAGATTACAGGTTGGCGGCCCGCACAAGTGAACGGGCACAATATTGTGGTCTCATTACGGCGACGAAGAGTTTCAACACGGCTTAAATGTAAACCATGAATCCAGGTCGCTCGCGTAATTTCGTGAGAATCGTGGGAGGGGACGATATAACAGTGGAAATTTTTTTCAAATCGTTCAAAATCGTCCCAACGGATGGAGAATTTTATTCGAGCTCTTCCATCTCTTGAAGACACGCACGATCTCCTCGTTCTCGAGGAAATCAATAGTTACTTCTTTGTTTATTATCCGAAGATCAACCAATCGCACCTGCATGCGCTGTTTTACCGTTTTATCTATATCCATTGTTGTGCCCGAGGGATCATAAATTTTTCAGCAAACCCGGCTGCGTTCGCAGACATAATTCGTTGCAAAGCTATTCCTTCGAGAATATACATGTACACAATGGTTCAACGAATGCCATTTCTTCCTTTTATATCTCTCACGATTTCCAAGATTTTTCCATTCGTAAGAATAATGCGAACCACGTCGATAACCGATTTCTAAACTTTCTAAACTGTCGAAAAACGATACTAATTTCTCTTTCGATCCTGTTGGCACCGAGTGGAAAAATTCTTTACTCGTGACGAAAGAAAAAGTTGCTTCTACCGTTCGATCGAATTAATCTCTCTTTAATTTCCGAAACTGCAGAATAATCTCCTCGTGGGGATTAAAATTGGCCGAGAAAAAGGAAGTAAAAAAAAAAAAAAAAGAAAATTTGTCTCTCCTCCGTTCAAAGAAGAAGAGATCATAGCCGATGCTTTTCGAACGAGTCCCTTTATCGCGGCGATATTGAAAGAAATGTTGAACGACAAAGGGGCACCGATCGATGAAGATCGGCGCACAAAGGGAAAGTGATTCAATTGTTAACCGGCGAACCACGAAACCGCAGGTGTTGTTTCTTCCTTGTTACTCCATCGTTCCCTCTCTCGATTCCTCTTTGAATCGGTGCGCGAGCATTATCACGAGATCTCAAGCTTTGGGAAAAACGTTGGCTGCGTTGCACTGCCGGGTATCGATTTTTAAAACGACGAACGAAACGGACGCGAAATTGCGTATAACGGATGCGATATTAAAACTTATAAACCGATTGCCAACACGAGCCGATCCTTAACGTGAGATCGTGTAATTTCTTGTCTGGAATGCGGTATTACCTCGAAAAATTCTCGAATTTTGATTTTTATTTAAAACTGACCGAGTTTTAAAACGATCCTTACAAAATCTAGCGATTTTTTATTATCACCCGATCGAATATTCGTGGAATCGAAATTATCACTTTAACCAAATCGTCGTTCCTCTCCCATTCGTCCATCAGAGACGAAATCAATAACGACCGTTCCATTGGATTTTGCCCACGCACGTGCGATCCTCAAGCTCGGTGTACCGAAACAGGGCGCAGCGTTTCGTTCGAGGAGTCACGCTATTATACTCGTACTACGACCAGATAAGAGATTCTCTTTTCTTCCACACACACACACACACACACACACACACACTTCCCCTCCTGATGTATGCGCTAGCGTATGCCCCCAAGTGGTATTCCAATACTCACGGAAAGAAACACGGTCGGATACTCGGTGATTGGAAAGTTTTTTTATTAGACGCTGGATTAACGACTCCTCTCCTGTGTGTAACAGAAAAAAGTGGAGAGGGAACATGTTGCAAACATTTTTATCGAACGAAATCGGCTTTAATAATTAACCGTTTATCCGTTTGTCGCACGAGAGATAAGGTGATCACGATTTTCATCGGTGATACGTATCGTTCGAGCAGCATTTCGTTCATTATCGATGATATTCCGTGGTTGGAACGGAATGCCAGCTCGCCGGCTCACCTTTCTCGGTCGTTATCCCCTCGCTCGCGGAGAGAGGGGCACCTTTTAATCCCTTCCAATAGACGGCCGTGTATACCGTAAAACGCAGCGCGACTAGACACAGAGAGATAATTAGTCGACCGTGCTCGAAGCATCCGCACGTGCGAATGCCGGTTAAGCACTGACGGGAAACAGAGGACGGTTGGAATCCCGCGTCGTAAAATTCCATCGAGGCGCGGTGCCCTCGTGAGAAGAAATATAAACACGCGCGGATTTTCGCGCAACGGTTCTCTT